GGGTCGTAGCGGTCGAAAACCAACGGTTTAGACCATCCTTCCACCGACCCTCTCCTCTGTAATATAAAAGGTAATAACCTCAATATTATATTCGCCTTAGTAATGAAGAATCCATATCAGATATACAAGTAGTTATTCTTGTAGAATTAGGTAGTTACATTTTAATATTAAAGCACAAGTAATAAAGCATAAATATCTTCAAATAATTCAGTAATAAATAAAATTAAATTTATAGATGTTTCGGAGAATTTAAAAAATATATTTATTTAAAAATTCCAACTTAAATTAACACACTGTTGCAACCAACATGGAATTTCTTTTCTAAAACTTTGAAAGTTGATTCAACGGAATTGATTAGGAGGAGGTTTTTATTTTCCTGTAAAGTTAAAATTATTTTTCTAAACTTTTTTATTTAGAGATTATTTGACATCCTCTCGAATTTCTTATATTGAAGTGTGATAAAAAGTTTATAATTTCAACTCTCTTTCCATGTTATTAAGACTTTTTGAAATACGGGCGTTTTTTATTATTTGTTAATTGTAAATATTTGTTTGCGCTAAAAAACATTAAATAACAAATGATAATGAATTTAAAATAATAATTCTTATTATACATTATATTGTGAGGTAGAAAGTTAGGAAAGAAAATTTCAGGATGACACAGTAATTTATTTAATGCAAACACAAAATCAACATTTATTATATACAAGATAAGCAATGAGGAAATTGCCCAAAAAATAACAAAATATAAATTACATACATATCAAAATATTAAGATAATCTGTAAATATAGAAATGTAGAAAAGCTTTGCTACAATATCTCCTTTTATCTCCTTTTAAAACTGCCAGAGACCCGTTTGGTTGCTTGTACTCGCTGGTGAGGTTGGACTTTTACAAGAATCGGGGGCCATTGGAGCATTTTTTAAATAATAAATAAGTGCCCAATGCGGGAATCGAACCCGGGTCGTAGCGGTTGAAAACCAACAGTTTGGACCATCCCTCAACCGACCCCCTTGCTAAAATATAATGTATAATTATTATATTTCAACAGGGTATATATGTGGTGAGGTCCTGTAGCCTCTTGTAGAATCCTGTCGACTAGAAATATGGTGAGGTATCCAGTCGACTTAATCTATGTGATGAGATCCTGTTGACTCTCGCTATACTGTGTTGACCGAGAGGAACAGTCAGGATAAGGAGTTTTCCAGTACTTCTCTCCACCTTGGAATACCTTTTACAGTTCTCACAAAGTACAGGCAGTCGTGGTCGAGGCAGAGTGGAAAGCTTGGGAATGTCCATACACAAAAACGATAACACAGTTGCACTAAGAAATTTCCGTGAACAGGTAAAAGTTGAGCTAGGAGCGAAAGATGGAGAGATATAAGAGTTCTTACTGGTCTACATGGTGGATGAGGTGGACCTGGGGTACAACCGACGAGGGCTCACGCAGATGGTGAAGTAACTGTGTATCAAGTGACTGTAAAGTGACTGTATTTATAGGTTGAGACGGGGACCTTATATATATCTTTCCCGAGAAAGGGAGTATTGCATTTCAACAGATGCGAAGAGTGTGGATCGTCTGGTGAAATTCTAAACTGGCGCCGTCCTGACAGTTTCCAATCTATCTTTAGATGTTGTTCTGTGACTTCCATCTATCTCGATTTTAGACGTTTCTGACTTCAATATCTTGCTTCAGCTCAACTCTTAATCTATTACAGAGTTTTATTTATTTATCCTCAGTTTGTACAACGTACATTACATGTGGTGATGTAATGACACATGTCAATCATGCGTATAATAATTTATAGATGTGTTTCTATTATTCAACATGAAAATCTTGTTGTAAGTTATACACAATATGGGGTTGTTGTGTGGCTTAAATTACCATATATAATTATTCGAATCTTCAAATTATATCATATAGATATTATAGACATGTGGCCGAGAAAGTGGTAAAATGATATTCAATCAAAAACTATAAACATAAAATTTTAGGATAGTATAATTACAATATAAATATTTGCATCGAACAATGCTCTTCTGCAAACAATAAGGACAAAGCCAGTTAGGCATAAATTGATGTAAAGAAATAACTCCCCAACTATATATAGGAAATGAAAGCACTATTGTTACTTTTACACCTGAAACAAACTTCTACTGTCCTTATTGTGATTAAAAAATATTGGGAAGGCTTGGCTTATCAGTGGTGAACCTTCCCAGCGGTTTCAACAATTTAATCTACCAAACTGCTTCTTAGAGCTCCAAACCTGTATTGGATCATTCATCTCTTAATCCTACACTGAAGGGGGAAATCTCAGAAATGTTATTCGAGAAAACTATGGACATAAGCTTTTAGGACCTCTAGGAGGGTTCACTACTGAAGAATCAAGCCCTAACATATATCTTCATCTCAAAAAGGACAGTAGAAGTTTGTTTTATGTCTGAAGAGAAAAATTCGTGCTTTAATGCTTTAATTTCCTGAATAGGCGCGTTATTGGTTTATATCAATATTATTGTATGAAATATCAGTACAAAAGTGAAATTTTAATATGATCAGGTTGATAAATATAGAAATAAGGTTATCCTGTGATTATGTAGACAAAGGTTACTGACAGCTTGCATCGACTGTTGGAATAAATAACAACTATTCGTTGATTTTTACTTATTCCAAAGAATTGGCCGAATAATATTTTTAATAAAAAATAAATGCTATTTGGAAATTCTTGAATAATAAAAAATCAACGGTTATATATATATTTTTCCGATCAGAGTAGATGCCTTTCTTTCAATTTTCTTGTAATATTTCTCATTTGTTATGATTTATTATTTGAAACATAGATATTTGTCACACATACAATTTTCAGAACTCGTATATTAATAGATTTGTTAATATTTTGATAATCTCAATTATATACATTTATATAAAATTAATATATTTCAGGATTTATATCTAAGTATATATATAGGATAGAATATATATTCAGTGAGTGAGAGGGGCTCTAACAAAATTGCGTTCGGTCACCCAGATGTCTAAGAAAGGAAATAGAGCGCGGGTAATGGAAGAATCAAATTAGAGTTGCGCCAGACACACAATTTATGCCTTTAAAACTCTCGCCCACATTTTTCCTTGATAAAATATAATTTGATATAAATACAATTTTATATAATTCATGTCAAGTTTGCTTTGTTTTGTTTTATTGCTTCATAAATTTTATTTTAATATATCTGCTGGATTATATATATATATATTTTCTAAATCAATATATATATTTTAGTTGGATTTATATTTCTTGATAAATTTATTGTGTTTTTGTGAAATGATGACATTATAAATAAAGAGCGAAAACATAATTGAATAAGTTGTGTGTTGAAACAAATTATAAGATTAAACATTTTTATTTATTGAGGCGAGGCCAAAAGTCGTCAGTCAATATGTATGATGATTCAAGAATGATAATCTATATATATAAAATTGAATGTCTGTTTGTTTGTTTGTACTCTATAGATTCAAAAACCATACATCCAATCGCCGTGAAATTTTGGGATATTATTAGGTATATCACTGGGAAGGTTTTTGAAAAATAATTTCATGAATATCTTGAATATCCTTAGAGTTATTTGCAGATTTGTAGATTTAACTCGCAAGCAGCGCCCCCATTGTGATGATGATAACAAGTTTTCTTATCACTAAGTTTGTTATCTTAAATATTATTTATCAAAAGTAAGATTATCTCAGGATGACACGGCAATGTGACACGGGAAAAAATGTTCACTAGATAAAACTATGATTTTCTATATGATATAAAAAGCCAACAATGAAGAGTGAATGTAATATAAAAAGCCAACAATGAAGAATGAATGTAAGATAAAAAGCCAACAATGAAGAGTGAATGTAAGATAAAAAGCCAACAATGAAGAGTAAATATAATATAAAAAGCCAACAATGAAGAATGAATGTAAGATAAAAAGCCAACAATGAAGAGTAAATATAATATAAAAAGCCAACAATGAAGAGTGAATGTAAGATAAAAAGCCAACAATGAAGAGTAAATGTAATATAAAAAGCCAACAGAGTGAATGTAAGATAAAAAGCCAACAATGAAGAGTGAATGTAATATAAAAAGCCAACAATGAAGAATGAATGTAAGATAAAAAGCCAACAATGAAGAGTGAATGTAAGATAAAAAGCCAACAATGAAAAATAAATGTAATATAAAAAGCCAACGATGAAGAATGAATGTAAGATAAAAAGCCAACAAAGAAGAGTAAATATAATATAAAAAGCCAACAATGAAGAGTGAATGTAAGATAAAAAGCCAACAATGAAGAGTAAATGTGATATAAAAAGCCAAAAGAGTGAATGTAAGATAAAAAGCTAACAATGAAGAGTGAATGTAATATAAAAAGCCAACAATGAAGATTGAATGTAAGATAAAAAGCCAACAATGAAGAGTGAATGTAATATAAAAAGCCAACAATGAAGAATGAATGTAAGATAAAAAGCCAACAATGAAGAGTGAATGTAAGATAAAAAGCCAACAATGAAGAGTAAATGTAATATAAAAAGGCAACAATGAAGAATGAATGTAAGATAAAAGCCAACAATGAAGAGTAAATATAATATAAAAGCCAACAATGAAGAGTGAATGTAAGATAAAAAGCCAACAATGAAGAGTGAATGTAATATAAAAAGCCAACAATGAAGAATGAATGTAAGTTAAAAGCCAACAATGAAGAGTAAATCTCTATATCTCTATCTCTATATCTCTATATATATATAAAAGTCAATTTCTGTCTGTCTGTCTGTTTCGCGATAAACTCAAAAACTACTGAACCAATTGGTACCAAATTTTGCATGTCGCTTTTTATAAACCTGAGGAAAATTTTCGGCTGCATTTTGATTAGTATTTTTGGCTATTTATTTTTTTCATTTGAAGAACTTTTTTTTTACGCGGACTAATCCGGAATGGAATGAATACCTAAATATGGCCATTTTTTTAAGCATCGGTGGTTCAGTGGTAGAATGCTCGCCTGCCACACGGGCGGCCCGGGTTCGATTCCCGGCCGATCCTTTTTTTTTTACAATTTTTAAAACTCAATTATATTATCTTATATATATAAAATTGAATGTCTGTCTGTCTGTCTGTACTCTATAGATTCAAAAACCATACATCCAATCGCCGTGAAATTTTGGGATATTATTAGCTATATCACCGGGAAGGTTTTTGAAAAATAATTTCATGAATATCTTGAATATTCTTAGAGTTATTTGCAGATTTGTAGATTCAACTCGCAAGCAGCGCCCCCATTGTGACGATGATAACAAGTTTTCTTATCACTAAGTTTGTTATCTTAAATATTATTTATCAAAAGTAAGATTATCTCAGGATGACACGGCAATTTATTTGCGACAAGAATAATGATACAATTCCAAGGCGAAGATACTATTCCTTTAACTTCCAATTACCGAGGGAACCAATTAATATTGATTTTATTCAACTTATCGAGTATTTCTCAAGGGACCGGGAAAAAATGTTCACTAGATAAAACTATGATTTTCTAATGTAGAAAATTAGGAAAGACAAAATTCAGGATGACAAGGCACACAAGGACCGGGAAAAAATGTTCACTTTATCGAGAGATTCAAATTTACGAGTTTCAAATTATCAAAATATATATTTTTTATTTTTTAATAAGTTTTTAGAGAATTGTTTTAACAAATGTTCGCTAGACAAACCTTTACTCGGGTAAACCCCCGGGCGAAGCCGAGTACGTTTTATAAGTTTAAAGAGAATTGTTTTAACAAATGTTCATTAGACAAACATTCACTCGGGTTAAACCCGGGCGAAGCCGGGCACATCCGCTAGTATATATATATATATATATATATATGGGTTTGTTTTAAAATAACTGTTTAAATATCAAATGAATATAGAATAGAACATAAGGTTGCAGGCGGATGGTATTAATCTACCAACACTCACTGTGACACCTCTCTCTTTAAAATAATTCTTTGAACCTTGCTTTTTTTATAATTGAAAACAAAATTAATTTTAAATACGACTCATTAGAAATGTGCCTTCCCAGAAGATCAACCAATTTCATCTACTAGACCTATATTTATAAGTATTTGTCAGCATTATGCTCCAATGACCATATAAGAAAATTATGATTTGTTAGGATATAAAACAAGGTATGGATTTCTATGATTTGATGAATGTATGAAAATATTTTCCAAAAAAGCCTTAAATTATTCCAACTATCAAAACCTGTTCTAATTTCTCAACTCCTAGCATGTGTTTATATTTCGTTTCATTTCCTCACCGTTATATTAGTAGGCATGCAAATGAATGGCTAAATATTAAAACACGTTTTTATATCTTAGATCTTTATATAGTAGGAGGTGGAGGGAGAAATCGTAGACTGTAATTCCAATGGATTTCCGAGAGAAGAAAGGGTCTTATCAAGAGTTAGAAGAAGTCTATCGAAAAGTCTGATTTAGCGTGTCGCGCATATATATATATAAATATATATATATATACAATGGATACAATAAATAATTTTGTGAGCCTTTGAAATTGGATCTAGAGTATGATTGGAAAAATTGAGATAGACTGACAGGATCGGAAAGTAAGAATAGTTTGAAGGTCTGGACGAGAAATAAGACCTGTTGGAAGTGAACATAAAAATGCAGTTAAATTAGATATAACATATAGTTAACATAATTATGGTGAAATAGTGACTGTTATATAGTAAAAGTAAATACATTTCTGAAAATATTCAGGAGTGTAAAATGAATTTATGTTTAGAAATATCATAAAGAAGCATTTGACTGTTAAATCATCTTGGTGTATTTGGCAACAAGATATTTTAAAGAACATAGAAGCTTAAAAATATATAATATAATAAATAAATTGGAAATGCCATTAAACCAAACGCAAAAACTAGGCGCTTTCTCCCAAGTGTCTCTGAAAACTATTAAATTAGGGTCGATGACAAAGCCATAACACTAGTTTTTGCCAATTGGAACCGGCCACATAGATATAATTTCGGTTACATGGCCTTCGTCAGTCCAGGACGATATAAGATAATCGAGGAATTCATGGATTCCTCATAATTTGTCAAAAAGGTTTTTAACTATCGAGGTAGCTAGGAATTTGTTAGGATAAAATAACGATGAGTACTTTGATGAAATTTATAAATATTTAATGACGGTCTTGTGAATCTCGTGTAGTCAAAGTCTCTGCCCTGGGCTGACAATGGCCATGGTCATGGTGGGCTTTGTAATCGAATCTGATAGTTTTTCAGAGAACGTCGTGAGGCAGCGCATAGTATCGCATGGAATTCTACGTGGACACATGGAATATATTTGTATTTATACAAATATATACGTAGAATATTGATCTCCTGGAGACTATTAGGCCTCACTTAAATATGGGTGAAAAAATATATGGCTACATTTATTTTTACTTTTATCTTTATTGGACCTTTAAATATAGGTTTTTGAAACACTCAAAATGTCATGTATTATGTATTCTCCATTATTGTATAAATGTATAAATATTTTTCATTTTAATTGTAATATCAATCTTTTTGTATGTTTGTGCAGATAGCAGTACAGGATTAAGAGAATATAAGTAAGTATTATTATATCTATCTTTTTCTCTACCCAATCACCCGTTAAACACTTTTTTTGTTATTGAATGATTCGAACAATATTATTTAAATAACTCTAGATTGGACAATTATTTTCAAAACATAAGGTTTATCTAATTGAATATAGAATGCATGATTTATACTAACTTAGCAAAATATGCATAATTACATGTACAATATGAGGTTGTTCCATGATTTTCAGCAAAACTGTTTTATGTTCAGACAATAAATCTTCACAAAGTGAACCTTTTAAAGACACGCGAGATAGCCAAGTGTAAAACAAAAATGGCTTTGTCTCTTTCGAAAAAATAAACGACCGGCGACATCAAAATACAAGGGTCACTCCAAATGTGTTTATGCAATCAATATTAAATAATTAAAATATTAGAAAATACATTATACCATTGAAATTTTCAGTAATTTTCTACCTCACATAATTATTTTCATAAAATAGTAACAAAGTTACACCAGTCATCTCCGGGGATTGCATTTAAAGTATTGATAGAGGCTTGCAGAGCTTTATCATCAGTATCAAATTTTATCCCTTTCAACAATAAATTAAATTTTGGAAATAAATAAGTCACAAGGTGCTAGTTCTGATGAATACGGTGGTTGAGTGATTAATTGGACACTAGAGTTGGCTAAAAAGTCTGATGTTTGGGCTGAGTTGTGCGGTCTTGCATTGTCATGGCGAAGAAGGAATCCTCTAAGTTGTGCTCTTGGTCTGCTTTGCTTGATTTTTTTTCAAATACTGCTGGAAGGTATTATTTTTGTATACCAGTCCAATTAACTATTTTTCTATATTCTAAATTCTCACAATTACAATGAAACCACTTTTTCTAAAAAAAAAAAAAAAAACAAGCGACTATTCGTTGTTCAACACTTCGAGCTCTGCAAACTTTCTAAGGAAGAGGTTTTTTGAAGAGCACGAAAGAGTAGATGCCGTTTTGTTTCTGATTCAATATTGTACATCCAAGTTTCTTCACCTGCAATAATATTAAAAACAGTCTTTTATTTGCCTTCATCGAATATGTTCAACAATAAATTACACCATTTAACGCGACCAAGTTTTTTTTGTCTTCAGTCAAGTTGTGAGGTACCCATATAACATGTTTTCTGTATTTTAAATGATCATTAATGATTATGTTGATTGCTGCCGATCCAATGTCAAGACCTTTCTCTAACTGCTGATACGTGATTCTTTGATCTCCTCTAAGTAAAAACTTTACAATTTTTTCTTTGGTCACTGCTGTTGTTGGTCGACCTGAAGGAGATTCATCTTCAAAAGGTTGGTGCTTCTAAATTTAGATTCAATGAACCAATTAAAATCTAAGAAAAAGGCGTTTTTTTCAACAAAATATTTCTGATGGCTTGCGCCATTAGTTGATATTTATTCCGATAAATGTCGCAATCCATCAGCAAATAAAAGTTGCACGATCAGGAAATGCCTTTTTTCTTAATTTATAAACCTGATCCAAGTAAAAAGAAACTCATCTCCAGAAACCTGTGGTTTAAACCTGTTCAAATCATTTCATAGCATAAACTATGCAGAATATAAACACAAATATATATTCATGATGAAATTGTGAAAAACCTTTAAAATTACAAAATATTTCCTCACAATGAGTTTCCTTTTATATATATATATATATATGTTTGAAAATAGAGCAATCCATATATTACAATATTTAAAATGCCTATTTTGGATCATAAAGTTTTTATTTCCGATATTTCGTGAGGCAACTCGCCAAACTTCTTCGGGGAACAAGATTGTTTTGATAAGCTCGCGTATCAATTCACGAGTATGTACAACTGCTATAAAATTTTAAAATATCTGAAATCTACAATATACATGTTTATAAATATAATTAATAATAATAAAATTATATATAAAATATTAATATATAGAGAATAAATAAATATATACATTTAAAATAAAATAATTGAGATTCAGTAATTTTTGTTATATATATATATATATATATATATATGTATAGTAGTGGACTATATGGTTTTAGCCCTCTTTCTCTTTTAGTAGACCACGCACTTAAACAGGACCACATACCAAATTTCGACTCAACAGAAATAGTATATCAAAATATCAAGGATAAACATTCAAGACTTTTTCTAGAAAGCTGGACCTCAATAGAAAATAAAAACAGTATCAACCGAAAAATAGACATTCCTCAACTATACTTACAATTTAAAATAGCCCTCTTTCCCTTTTAGTAGACCACACACTTAAACAGGACCACATACCAAATTTCGACTCAACAGAAATAGTATATCAAAATATCAAGGATAAACATTCAAGACTTTTTCTAGAAAGCTGGATCTCAATAGAAGATAAAAACAGTATCAACCGAAAAATAGACATTCCTCAACTATACTTACAATTTAAAACCATATAGCCCAC